GCGTTTGTTGTAGATGAGCATTTGGACGGCATTTACAGGAAATTGTCGGCAATAATAGGTGAAAGAGAGTATAGAAACATTAAGCAAGGCTCGACACTAGCGGTGGCCCGGTGGCCCCGGGCCACCAAAACTTGATGTCGGGCCACCAAATTTCCAAAAGTTAAAATTTGTGGCCCGGATCGGCCACTAAAATTTAAAAGTGTCTATGTGATAAAAATAATTGTTTCTTACGTGCTAATCTCATTCAAAAGAGAGCGAGCAATTCGCGGAGCGAGGGCACACGTACGCACGTGCAGCATTCTACCGCGAGCATACACGGCATATTTGCAAGCGCCAGCATACATGTTGATTACATTGTATCAAGCGAACCAGACAATGCGTCTAGACAATACGCCTGTCTCCAGTGTACTGTGGAGGCATGTAAAATGAACGCGAGCGATGAGAGTTTCGAAGGCAAACAATTGTCATAATAAAAAAATGATGAAATTTCTTCATTTTTTGATGTATTTTGTTCAAAATGTTAAAAATACGGACACCACATGCGTCCCGGGAAGGGTCGGTACGGGACGCAGACACATGTGGCAAAATACGGACGTCTGGTCACCCTGATTGCTAGCTAGCTCACTGGTGCTCACTGTTTCGGATCCGAAGCGAAACTGCCAACTATTCCATGAAGATGATCAGTATTTAATCCGAAGTGTAAAATTTAGTGCTTTGTAAGTTTATTTAGTGCATTTTCTCTGTCTCTTTACGCAACAAAATGTTGAACTTAGTCTTGGACATATGGCTGCTTTTTCTTTTTAAATGCATGCGTACCAGGCGTACTTTTGTTGATATAATTATCGGTTCTACTTTATCTTATTAAATCTGCAAGATTTTATTTTTACAGTTTCAAGCCTGCCAGACATTTGAACTTTTATGAGATTAACATGTATATGTTTTATTTTAACAGAAAAGCCAATGTGATTGTTGTTTTATTACAGTTACTTGTTTATTATTTGCATGCTCCTGTGACTTTGATCTTCTTGAACGTCTGCACTGATCGATAGCATGTGCACGCGCGCGTGTTTAGACTAATAGATGATGGAAGTAGAAAAGATGGTATGCAATGATTCTGGTGAAAATTTGACTGCCGTGGAATGGAATAATTTAAATGTATGCCTCAATCATAAATGTCAGTGTTGGGCCATCGTGTGGGGTTTGTTTTAAGACTTGTGGGCAAAGGGCATCAGACCGGCCCAATTTTCAAATAATATACAATACGAGATTGAAATAAAAGATTTATAAATGTTTTTTTTTGTTTTTTTTTCGGGCCACCAGATTTCATTTTCGGGCCACCAAATTGAAGAACTGCTATGATTTTTGGTGGCCCGACTCGGGCCACTGAAAAAAAGTTAGATGTCGTAGCCTTGCATTAAGACTTTGGTCAGTAAAATAGATTTCGTATTTATTTAGGATTATATTTTCATTGAAACGCTCCAAGTGTCTGTGGAGAAAACGTCCGTGTGAACGCTTGCTCGGATGCATTTGACACGGGTCGTTTCGCTCCGTGTGAACGCGGCTTATAGCCCGCGTAACAGTTGCCTCAGGCCTGCGGCCACCGCACAGCGCATTGGAGCGTTTCAATTAAAATATAATGCTAAATAAATACGACGTAGGGTCTATGCTTACGTAGGGTCGTTCACACAGTAATATACACACTCATAATACAGTGATATATTAAAATGAATCTAATTAATTTAATATCGATTTATAAATTTCAGTTTATGCGAAGATGTGCATGTATATATACATGTATTTGGGATCGGCAGACACTTGTGAGAAATTTAGCTTGGTTGATTCTGAACATTCTGTACTGCATTCAGTAATTAACTGGGCTTAAGATCCTGCAGTGCCCTCACCTACACCCTATCCGAGGGACACGTAACCCACGCGTAGCATCACGCATCAGCACATGCACTGAACACCGTGCCGACTTCATACAGAAACTTGATCTTCGCCATATAAATGGCTTACCAATTATTAGCACGATGCCACTATCACTATGCCACCATCACCCATGCCCATGCACTAGCACTATCACCTACTAGTATGCAGTTATGACTATCACCATCACTATGCACATGCCATATATGCCGCTCAGTCATTGCACTAGAACACGCTCGAGCGCTATTCGTCATCTACTAGCACACTGACTCCAGCAAATTCGTACATTCTTGCACTAGGGCACTTATAGATGAGGTATGTCGTCACGCTATCCATGGCACAGGCATAGCACTATGCACTATGCACTATGCACCGTCTTGTGCACATATTTCGCACTATGTCCAGCTGATGCATCCAGGCCCATGCCAACTCTATGCCATTGCCTAGAGCCACTATTTGGCGTGTGATGGCCAGTTAGTATTCAATTGCCCTTCTCAGACTCACCTTATGCGATCTATTTCTATCGGCACTGGTGGGCAATCTACCAGCGTGCTCATAATGCACGGTATTTGCACGCTAAACGTGCACTAGTGCATATGTAAGCGCTCGCATTAGACTTACTATACATTACGCCATGCTCCAAGCTCTTTACAAAGGTACGCTAGTACATTGACAACCACTGGCCACTGCATGCACCGTAATATGCACTGATTGCAGTCTAATTGCTTCAGCTGGTGACAATCATAGCAGGTGCAGCCAGAATAAATACAGTATGCCACCTTGCTCACTGATCAGTGGCACTATGCACTAGATCAGGCCATGCACTATGCTACAGTATGCCTTAAGAGATGCACAACGTTGGTACACCCGACTCATGCTATCTATGCACTATGCACTAT